GTCCCCGCTGCTCTGCCTGGCAGGTGGGGTTGGGCCCAGAGGCCTCTTTGATCACGTTTTAGTGATTTTCTGTTTTTCTCCTCTGCAGCTCCTACCTCCACTGTAAGTGGGCGACTCTGGAGGAGCTGGAGAAGGACCCCAGGATCTCCCAGAAGATAAAGCGCTTCCGGAACAAGCAGGCTCAGATGAAGCATATTTTTACAGAGGTGAGAGCTGAGCACAGCGGGCAGCTGCTGGCACATCTGGCACATCTGGGCCCGGCGAGGCTGCTGAGCAGGGCAAGGGCCGAGCACCTCCCTGCCCAGGCGAGAACAGCTCCGGGCTGGTTGTGAGCAGGCAGGGCACACGGGGCAGCTGTGCCAGCCCTGCCAGAGCTCTGATGGAGCTCGGTGGTCCTGGGGTGCTGCCCAGAGCCCTGCCTGTGCCCCTCACTGGCACCATGGCGATGCCCAGGCAGCGGCATGGCACCTTGAGCTTCCAGGCTGGTTTGAGCCAGGGCATGGCAGGAGAACGTGTGCAGTGGGGACGCTGGAGCCAAGGGGCTGTGACAGTGCCCTGAACACCCGCGGCGCCACTGGCAGAGTGTGGGCAGGGTGGCAGATGTCACTTGCCAGGCACTGCCAGCCCTGGAAGTGCTGCTCAGTGGGAGGGAGGGCAGCGTGCGGAGCTGGAGGTGTTTTCGTGGTGGAGCAGAGATGATGTGGGATAGAGGGAGCTATAAATACGTGGGCTTAGGGCAGCTCCTGCCTGCTCTGCTCTATAAGCAGATTAATCTTCTTTAATATGAAAAGTGTTCTATAATTTATCTTGCTGTCACAAAGATAGGTGTTGGATCTCCTCAAACTGCCCCTTACAAGTGTAAATCAGGCCAGTAGGCTATGAAAATTTCTCAGTTGGAAAGCTGGGGGGTGTTTGAATTCCTCACTCCTGAGTCTGTCTGGGGTCTTTCCCAGGGTGCAGAGAAAAAGCGTGTGTTGGAACACACTGTGCCACGGACAGTTTAGTGAGGAGCAAGGGCTCTCTGCTGTGGCTAACGAGCCTGGGGGGCTGTGGACATAGAAGCCTGATTCCCCTCCCCAAGCCCTGGACTCGTCCTGGTCTGTCCAAGGACCCCTCTAGCCCAAAGCCCGCTCCTCCCCGGGTACTCCTGGCAGGAGGCCCAGCCCTTGCCTCCTAGGTGGTTGCTGCTGGTGACTGCTGAGCTGAAGGTGGGGAGGGAGAGGGAGGCAGGGACAGGGACCAAGGTGTCATCCCTTGCAGAGGAGCAGAGTTCAGCGGGTGCTGTGTGACAGGGCTGTGGCAGTCACAGCTCGGGATGCTGCTCGCAAGCTGGAGTGTACAGGTCATGGATTTGTACCTTGGGGCCAGATGGGCCGGAGAGGACGTTCCTGCCTCCCAGCAAGGGCAACATGGAGCTCTGTGGCTGCTCTAAAGCGAGAGCTTTGCCTTCTGCAGGGCTCCTGCATCCTCCCTGCCCAGAGACAGATGCGAGGACCTGTGTCCAGGGCGCTTGGTGTGCTGTGCACAGCTAGCAGCATCCTGGGGACAGATGCCCCGCAGCTGTTTACTCCTGCCCGCCATCTGTTTCACCCTGGAGTCACCTTGAACTCACCTCTCTTTCTGCTGTTGCAGCCTGATGAGGATTTGTTCAACCCGGACTACGTGGAGGTGGATCGGATTCTGGAGGTGGCTCACACAAAGGACCCTGACACCGGGGAGGTGAGTGGCTGCATCGCTTGCTTGCCTGGTAGCGGGAGGGAGGGAGGCTTGGCAGGAGGCCCAGACCCACACCGTGCATCACGTGTCACCTCCGGGCACCCTGAAGCCTTTGCAGCCAGCCCTGTGCAGCCCTGTCCCCGGGGACCCCTTGGCACGGGGGCAGAGGGTGACCTGCTCTGACCTGACACTGCCTCTGAGCCCGTCTCTCCGTGCTGCAGGAGGTCACTCACTACCTGGTGAAGTGGTGCTCGCTGCCCTATGAGGAGAGCACCTGGGAGCTAGAGGAGGATGTCGACCCAGGGAAGATTAAAGAGTTTGAAGCCCTCCAAATCCCTCCAGAAATCAAGCACATGGTAACGTACCCGGAGGTAACGTACCCGGCTGGCAGCTGGCTGCCCTGGGCAGGCAGGGGCCCTGTCTTTCCAAGGTCCAGCAGTGCTGACCTCGTCCCTGCTGCCGCAGTGCAAGCCCTGTATCCTCCCCTCCAGACGGGCTGGTTAGTGGGATCCAAGGGTGGGATCCAGAGCCCGAGACTTTGCTGTGAATCTGTGTGTGACTGTTCTGGAGTGCTGTCCTGATGCACAGCCCCAGGTGTGGGGGCTGGGCTCGCTGAGTGTTAGCCTCTTCCTCTCATGGACCTTGCTCCTCCTCTCCTCTCCTCTCCTCTCCTAGGAGCGCCCAGCATCTGACACCTGGCAGAAACTGGAGAAGTCTCGGGAGTATAAGAACAGCAACCAGCTGCGGGAGTACCAGCTGGAGGGCATGAACTGGCTGCTCTTCAACTGGTATAACAGGTGAGGAGGGGCGGGCAGCCTGTGCTCCCACGAGGAGTCCTGCTGGCAGTGGGGCCAAGTGTGCAGGAGCAGCAGAGCTGGGGGAGCAGGGCTGACAAACGGGCCTGACAGAGCAGCCACTGAGACCTTCCAGTGCTGGAGCTGGTGGGCAGCTCCAGAAAATTTGAGTTGTTCTGGCTTTGCAATTGAGCCTTTAGGAATGTTTCTTCCAGCAGGTAGATGCTGATGAGTCTCTGAGATTGTAGGGCTTAGCTATGGGTCTGAGATACGCCTGGGTTTTGGACGAGGCAGGCCGCTGGTGCCCCAGGCCTGTGGCAGGAGTGCAGGTGTATGCACGTTCTCAGCTGCAGACGGCTGCCAGATGTGTCTTTCTCTAGCTAGTGTGCACCCAAAGGAAAGCATCTTTCACCCTAACTTTGAGTCCATTGTCTTGCAAGAAGCTGGATGGTCTGGCTTACCCAGATGGGTTTGGGCCACGGTACCAGTGTCCCCCCACCCTCCACGTGTCAGAGAGCTGTGGGTGCGGGCGATGTGCCTGGCAGCCCATCGAGGGGTTGGTGTTGGGGTGGTTCCTGCCCCTGAGAGCCACCTTCATGCACCCCTGTCCACCTCTGCAGGAAGAACTGCATCCTGGCTGACGAGATGGGGCTGGGGAAGACAATCCAGTCCATCACCTTCCTCTCAGAAATATTCCTGATGGGCATCCACGGCCCCTTCCTCATCATCGCACCGCTCTCCACCATCACCAACTGGGAGCGGGAGTTCCGCACCTGGACGGAGATGAACGCCATCGTGTACCACGGCAGCCAGATCAGCCGCCAGATGATCCAGCAGTACGAGATGGTCTACAGGGACCCCCAGGTGACCGCCGTGCTCCCGGGAGGCACGCCCAGCCCTCGCTGCCTCCACCGGGGAAGCGCCGAGCTGCGTGTGGAGCGCGTGGTCCATCTGGAGAGGGAAGGGGATCCTTTAGCACCCCTTTGTTGGCACGGGCTCGGTGCGCTGCGTGTGAGTGAAGAACAGGCCCAGCTCGTACAGAAAGGAGAGTGCAGCTGAGCCCCAGCCGTGGTTCTTGTCCAGGCTGTTTGTCAAGCAGTGTCTGGTTTGGAGAGACACAGCCTGTGGCCAGTGAGGAGGCTGGCAGGAACCTGCCTGCTGCTTGAGAGATCAGTCTGGGGAAATCCCAGCTAGGACCAGATGCTAACACCGATGTGTTGACAGGATGTCTGGTGGTGTCCTGTGGCCCTGCAGGAGTTGAGCGCTGCGTATGGTTTGTGTCTCCCTAGGGTAACCCTCTCCCTGGCATCTTCAAGTTCCAGGTGGTTATCACCACCTTTGAGATGATCCTTGCCGACTGCCCGGAGCTGAAGAAGATCCAGTGGCGCTGCGTGGTCATTGACGAGGCACATCGCCTGAAGAACAGGAACTGCAAGCTCCTGGAGGGGCTGAAGCTCATGGCCCTGGTGAGCACATCCTGCCCGGCTTCACGGGGAGGGAGGGATGGCCGTGCCCAGCAGTGAGAGGCCACTGCCAGCTGCCCAGGCCCCGTGCCAGGGCGGGGAACCGTCGGGGACCTATCAGGTTGCTGGAGCTGTGCCAGGGACAGGGACCTCTCTGGTGGACAGGGCAGTGGTGCTCTGGAGGCACCGCAGGCTGCCCTGGGTTGGGGTGGGGCAGTGACCTGTGGGGGCCGTGGCTTGGCTGGCACATGCCATGGTGAGCTGGGCTGTGCTGCCCAGGCTGGGCTCCTGCTGCTCTGCAGGCGTGGGACCGGTCCCTGCAGGGACAGGGGTGAGAAAGGATCAGCGAGCTGCTCTGAGCAGGGACTTTGGGAGCCCAGCTCCTGAGTGTTCCAGCCTGACTGGACCAGGGGCTGTTGGGCCTGTTGGATCTCCCAGCCCTACCCAGCTGCCATCACACCCACCTCTCGCTGCGCCAGGCCTCTGAACATTATTAGCTTTACATCTCCAGTTCCCAAAGACCCTGCTGCTTCCCTGTGCCCTTGTGTCCTGAGCAGGTCCCTGCTGGCTTGTGAGACGCCTGGGCAAAGCCGGGTTGCTCCTGGCCCCTGCTCTTGGTAACCATCACCTTCCTTTGCACAAGTCCTGTGGGAGCCTCCCACCTTCCAATTGCTCTTCTTTCATAGCTGGTCACTCTTGGGGATGTTTCTGTGTCTTAGGTTGGGTGGGAGGAGCAGCCTGAGCAGTGAGCAAGTGCCCAAGTCTGCACTGCTGGGACAGAGTGGCTGGTGTGCCCTGGGAAGCAGCACCCGGGGGGGCATGCAGCCAGGGCCCCGAGAGTCACACATGGAAGGGAGTGCGTTCTCCTTGAGGGGGCAGCCACCTCTCACACCCCCAGGTCTTGGGGGGCTTGTCTGGACCCCTGTCTCTTTTTATTGCAGATGTACCTACATGATAAAAAAGCTCTTCCTTGTTCCCATGCCCACTGGCCACAGTCACTCATGCCCCTCCTGGTTTTGGAGCACCCTGCCCATGCTGGCCCTAGCAGCAGGTCCCTGGTGGTATCACGTGGCTCTGGGCCATGTTCCCTCTTCTTCTACCTGAGACCTGAAGAGGAACATCCTGCCCCCAGCTGCACGGAGGCTTGGGCTCAGTCACTGCCCCCAGCACAGCCCTGCCTGAGGGTCTTGTGCCAGGGCAGGGCAGAAGCCCAGGGCAGGTGTGGGATTCTCTGTTTTGGCCGTTGTTGCTGCACAGAGCTGGACTGGGACATGTCCTGGGAGCCTCAGTACAGTGCTGGGTAGCAGTGGCTGGGGCAGGGCTGGTGCCAGGGCCAGAGGAGCCTTTTGGGGAGCGTGTGTGTGCCCCTAGGCCACCCAGGGCATTCGTGAGGCTGGGAGACGGGGAGTGTTGCACTCTTGGGACTCCTTGTACCCAGCCAGTGGGTCTGAGCCCTCAACCTGTTTTCTGTGTATACCCAGGAGCACAAGGTGCTGCTGACTGGGACGCCCCTGCAGAACTCTGTGGAGGAGCTCTTCAGCCTCCTGAATTTCCTGGAGCCGCAGCAGTTCCCCTCAGAGACAGCCTTCCTGGAGGAGTTTGGAGACCTGAAGACAGAGGAGCAGGTACCTAGAGGAGTGATGCTGGTGACCGTTGGCACAGGCTCCTGGGACACATGGTCACCAAGCTAGGCACTCAGACGTGCTTCATGGAAGCGAATAGGACTCCTTGAGTCAGGAGAAGCAAAGCTGTGACAGAGCCCCCGGTGCTCTGGAGAGAGGAGACCAGCCTGTGCCAAGGCAGAGGCTTTTCCCTGCCTGGCTCCCTGCTGTCCCATGCATTCCTGGGCCCCGGAACCCACCCAGCTACCCCCCACTCTGCCCCTGAGACCAGCAGGAGCGCAGGGGGGGTGAGGAGATCCGTAAGTCCCGGTGCCAGCCGCCCCTGTCGGGATCCCCTGGGGAGCCATCCTCCGAAGTCGCCCCTGAGCGCGGGTCAGGAAGGCGGCTCCGTCCCCTGGGCTGTCTTGCTGCCCTGTGAATGCCTGGCTCAGTGGAGCCTGCACAAAGATCACCATTCTGAGGGGCACCCCGGGCAGGGGCACAGGCAGCGCCTCGGCTGCTGTCGAAGCTCCCGGCGCTCCTGCAGCAGGCGCTTCACTGGGCTGCTGGCAGCAGAAGCGCGTGGAGCTCATGGCCCAGGGCTGCTCGCTCACGTGCCTGCCCCAAGGAAGCCAGACCCTGAAGTTGCCCTGGCTGTCGGCGGACATTTGTAGTGGCTCTCCAGCCTGGGGGGGCTCTAGCGCTGGAGGCCCCTCTGCTGTTGTCACCGTGTGCCTGCCATGCAGGGAGGGCAGTGAATCTCTGCGCTTGCTCTGGCAGGTGAAGAAGCTGCAGTCCATCCTGAAGCCCATGATGCTGCGACGGCTGAAGGATGATGTGGAGAAGAATCTGGCACCCAAGCAGGAGACCATCATTGAAGTGGAGCTGACCAATATCCAGAAGAAATACTACCGGGCCATCCTGGAGAAGAACTTCTCCTTTCTCTCCAAGGGTGCCAACCAGCACAACATGCCCAACCTCATCAACACCATGATGGAGCTGCGGAAGTGCTGCAACCACCCGTATCTCATCAACGGTGAGGGCTGTGCACAGGGGCTGTGGGAGGGACGGACATTGCTGCAGCAGTTACTGCTCACTGCCTGCAGAGCTCACCCGGCGTGGGAGCCAGCTCAGGCCCCCGTGCCAGCTGCTGCTGGTGTGGTTGTGCCCAGCCCAGGATGCAGTGATCTGGGCACCTCAGGGCCTTGAGAGGCTCACTGTGCTTGGGGGTGTTGTTCTGTCACAAGACCCTCTCCCAACATCCCAGCTTGGCTTGTTCTGCCAAGAGCTGAAGCCAGCCCTGAAGGACTAGGGTCACAGAGTGCAGGGGATTCTGGAGGTCTCTAGCCAGCCTCCTTATTGGCTTGCACAGGCTCTGTTCCTCACATGGTGGCTTGCTATTGCCCTGGACGGGCGGCCGGGGGCAGCTGCACTGCCAGCGTTGCCAAGAGCTCATGTCCCCTCTCACCTGGCAGGGGCAGAGGAGAAGATCCTGGAAGACTTCCGTAAGACGCACAGCCCGGAGGCACCAGACTTCCAGCTGCAGGCGATGATCCAGGCGGCCGGGAAGCTGGTGCTCATTGATAAGCTGCTCCCCAAGCTGATCGCCGGTGGGCACAAGGTGCTCATCTTCTCCCAGATGGTGCGCTGCCTGGACATCCTGGAGGACTATCTCATTCAGAGGCGGTTAGTACAGGCTTCAGCACTCGCCTCAGCTCCTCCACCTCACCTCCATAGGACAGAGTGGGAACAGCCCAGGGTCGGGATTTGGCCGTTCTGTGCCCACCTGCCAAAGGATCCAAGTTACAGGCTGCTGGTGGGCGCAGAGACCCCAAAGCTGGGCAGCTTTGACCTGTCCATTCTGCGTTGCCCAGGGCTAATCCTAGGGGTGACCAAATGCAAATAGGCCCTTCCCTCGGTCCTGCCTCCCGTGAGCCCCATATCCATGCGCGGCGGTGCGATGGTTTTGCCATCCTAAGAGGAACAACTTTTGGGAAGAGCCACAGAGCGCAGAGGCT